GTCTGTCTGTCTGTCTGTCTGTCTGTCTGTCTGTATGTCTTTCTGTCTGTCTGTCTGTCTGTCTGTCTGTCTGTCTGTCTGCCTGCTTGCCCCTCCCCCCTCCTCTCTCTCTCTCTCTCTCTCTCTCTCTTTATCTCTCTCTCTCTCTTTCTCTCTCTCTCTCTCTCTCATCATAGTTTCTTATCAGCACTTTCTTTTATTAAGCTAAAGTATCTTTGACTGCGATGTAAAAAACCAAAAAAACCAACCAAACCCATGTATCACAAAAGATAACATATTTCCCCCCATCAACCCTATACGCATTCCTGCGTATTGCTAATCGAGGCAAACATAAAGTATGAAGAGGCCCCCAGAAGTGAACATACTGTACCATTTCTTGAACTAAGAGTTATGACGTCAGTTCTTCAGGATGTCAAAGATATGACTCCGTTTTTTTTCCGTTTAAAAAAAAAACCGGACTAAAAGTTAAGTATATCATTAAGACTAGAAGAAAAGTCGGCCTCCAAACTTCCTGACAGAATGTGTGTGTTCGTCGATCGTTGGTTTTAACGCCCTTATCAACACTATTAGGTTATTTAAGAGGCAGGACCCCCGAATCTAACGTCCATTTCCGATGAAAGGAGCCAAATGGGTTGAGAGCCTTTAACTTGAAAACACAGCAAAACGACCAGAGTTCAAGAACGTCCAGTCTGGGATCCGAACCACGGCCATCCGCTTTGTAGTTCGGCATGATACCAACTGAGCATATCTAGAGATGGGCAAAATCCGGATAATCTATAAGGATAACCGGATAATTCTCAATGAAATATTATCCGAATTCAGACCCCTAACTCTCTTTCCTGACCCGTTTGTGGAAGTGGGTGCCCCCATTTGTTGAAGTAGTGCTAACCCGTTTGTCGAAGTGGTTCTAACCTATTTGCCGAAGCGGTTCATATCGTAATATTTGCCGAAGAGGTGCAATAACATATTATCCGGATTTTGCTAAAGCGACTCATTGCCCAGCTCTAAGCATATCCCACTACTCTGGGTGTCTAGCTATATATAGCACTCTCGCCGAATGTGGTTTTAATAAGAGTTTTACAGCACTTGCAACACAATAAGGTCATATAAGTGGCGAAGATTACAGGCGTTACAAGAGTAACACGGAGAGATAAGAGGACGATAGATGTCTGATAGGAAAGAAGAAGGAAACCATCTCGAGGTATTTGGTGACAGGTGAGAACAAAAAAGTAAAGGTCAGAGTTGTTTTAGTCTAGTTTTCTTCTGAGTTTTATGGCACTTGTAACACAAACAGGTCATATAGGTCCCGAGGGTTGTAAGTGTTACTAGAAGGTGACAAATCAAGAAAAGGAGGAGGGAAGAACCGATAGATGTTTGATAGGAAAGAAGGAGCAAACCACACCAGAGCGCTCGAGGTGAGAGAGGGGAGGGATCGTCTCGCACGAAACAACTGTCCAAGATCAAATGACTTCTTGTACTCAAGTGGTGGCGTGGGTCTGTGGAACAATGGGCGTGTTGGTGAGTGAGTTTCAGATTTCCGTCAACGATCGCGCGGGGTGTGAGCGTGTCGCATGGGGTCACGGCCTCACTAGGTATCACCTCGGAGCTCCTCCCTTTGCTCTCCTCTCCTCTTATTCCCTTTTACCCTCTCTTCTTCACTTCTCCTCGCTCCACTATCTCTCTCCCTCTCTTCTCCCCCTCTCTCTTTCTTTCTCATCCCTCTCTCCCTCTCCCTCTCTTCTCCCCCTCTCTCTCTTTCTTTCTCTCTCCCTCTCTCTCCCTCTCTCTCTCCTTCCCTTGCTGCCCCCCTCTCTCCCCCTCTCTCTTCCTGCTCTCTACCTTTCTCTCTCTTCTCTCTCTCTCTCTCGCTTTCTCTC